TATGGTTTCTGCATAAAATGACAGCCTGTCACTACCGCCAAGTGACAGCACACAGGCTCTCTGAGGAACAAACTGGCTCTGGGTACATGGACTGCGGATCCAGAATCCTAATTCCATTGAGAAGGACATTCTCATCATTGAAATCCGTCTACTTTTGTGATTTGGTGGAACTGTTCAGCCCTTGCAATATATTTCAGTGTTATCACATGGCTTTATCAGTGAGCAAGAAATGAAGGCTCAGATGTTATTAAAACCTTAACACACGCAGGAAGGATGGGGGCGGGCCCCAGCTACAAATCCAACGTAATGACTCTCATTTCCCTCATTTGGAAAATGAAATGCTTTTCTCTAATGGGAGAGGCACCAGCAGTGTTAAAATCTGCATGGACTCGGGGCTTCCATTTTACACGCTCTGATAATTTAGCAGCACACTTTTACAATCGACGTGCGGAGTGAGCTGGTAACTTAAATGCTGAGAGAGGAAAGGCAAGGCTGAGCCCAGGGCCCATTTCCACGAGCTGATGGCCAGGCCCTCTGCAGAGTCCCTCCCCCGAGCTCAGTTCTCCATGTTGCCAACAGCTGTGTGACCTCGGGCAGGTTACTTGGCTTCTCTGAGCCTCAAAGTCTTCCTTGATGGAACATGTATAAAAGCACTGACCTATTCAAAGTGGAACTTTCATTTCTTGTACTTTTAAAGGGGAAGTAGCATCTGAAGGGTCAGAGGTGAGTCTGCCAAGATCGAGGCCACCACCTCCCGGGCAATCTCAGAACAGGGTCACTGTGAGCCTGGGCTGTGCCCCTGATGGGCGCTGGGAGCCAGAGCAGCAGCTCTCTCCTGGGCTCATATGTTGGTGTTGCTGGGTCAGAAAAGCAGCCCCGTCTCCCTCCCGCCAGCTCATCTGCAGAGGGGCACACTTGCCTTATAAAACCACATCGCCTCTGATCAGGCCTATCACGTTCCCAAGAAGACCCGTAGGAAAGGGAAGCAGAAGGCAGGTGCTTCCTCCTCCAAGTCGTTATTTTGCTCTCACAGTCCCTTCTGAGAGCCTGCCAACACAGTCCCCAGACCACCTCTTTTTTGGCAGAACTTTGTCTCTTCGCGCATTGCTCAGTGGGGACCTGTCGGCCCCTAGCAGCGGATCCCTGTTTATTATCCTCTCTGACTTTCACAGCGTGGAGAGGCGGCGTCTCGACCTCATTTTACTGATGCAGAAACAAAACAAACAGACGCAGCAAATGTTGCTGAGACTCAGTCCCAGGTGTTTGATAGCAAACGCCTCACCCCTTTCGCCCCCTCGGAATATATTGCTGGGACATTCAAATGCAAGCCAAGACAGGAAGGTGGTATAAGAAGAAGGCGGGGGGTCAGGAGAGGTGATTTATATGTCGCCCGCATGCCACATTCTAGAAAGAGCCTTGCGAGAGGATGTGCTGTGCCATGGGCATGGTCTTCCTTGAGCCACCCAACACAGCAGCCACAGACCTCAGCTGCGCGCGCACGGGGAACCTGCGACGTGGGGAACCTGCGATGTGGTCGTGTGACTGAGGAGGCCCCGCCTTGATTTTATTCCACCTGAGTGAAGTTAAATGTAAATTTAAAAAGGCACGTCACTAACGGCTGTCACATGGACAGGGCAGCCCCGGGACACAAGAGCCCTGCGAGGGGCCTCTGGATGTCGCCGAGGCCAGTTAACAGCGGGCTGTTTGCTCAGACCTTGAAGTGAAGGTCCCGCAGAAGTCAGCACCGGCACAGTCACTTAAAGTAGGCTGCCCCCTGGGAGAGACAGCACACGGGCCCAGCGAGGGGCAGGCTGGCCTGGGCTCGGCTGCCAATGGCAGTGTCCAGCTCTGGCTCCCCCCACAGGCCTGTCCGTTCACAATCATTCTGGGGCATGTTCTGGTCCCATCTGCTCCTTTTCCTCCTTCCCTCCACCCCCCACCCAGAAACAGTGGTCATCTCGCGATTTCCCCGTCAAGCAAGCCAGGACAACCTCAGGGGGGTAGAAATATTCCTTCATCTGCTCACAGTTGCATCAGCACAGAGCATGAGAGGGAACTGAAAAGTCACTTCTAACCCCCCCTTTTGCAGCCTGAGGCCACGCCTGAAGAGCGCCCAGTACTGTCTTCACCCTTTGCCCAGGGCTCTGACCTACTGAGCCCACAGATGGGGCAGGAGCACGTGTGCAAGTGAGATAAACAGATCCATCTGGTCAAGGTCAGGCACTCCTTTTGCCTCCTTGTGTCCAGACAGTGATTCCTTCAAATTGATGCTGGGTGGATTTGGCAAAGAGAACTGTGTCCAATCATGAAACTGCCAAGCATTTGGGTGACTTACTGGTGACAAGCATTTCCTTTCTGTTCTTAGAAGAGTCTCTGAAATCTATTCTATTTGTTAAAATCCCCCCTTGCAGACCTAAGGTCTAGCACTCACAAACAAAAAATGCTTGGAGCATACTGACTGATTGAATGATACAGCTTATCCACCTCAAGGGTGACTATTAATAATATTAACACTTTTCTGGAAGGAAAGCCCTGCTTCCTGTTAGCTTCACCCATAGTTTCCCACTATCTTAGCATGGGTGGCGAGTGCTCAGCTCAGTCAGCGGGACAAGTCACGTTTTGCTTGGAATAGAGAACTTCTATCTGGAAGATTCTGTTCAAGGCCCAAAGGTCAAGGTTTCAGCTGCAGCCAAACAGATGACATCAGCCTTGAATGGACACTGCTTGCCTGACTTGAAAGTCTGGGTGACAAATAGTTGGGCACCATGAATGGGGACTTAGTTGTAATGAAAATACTCAGAGTGACTCAGCCCAAAGTTCCAGCAACCAGGAAACAGGTCTGTCACTTTTAATGAAACCCTAGGAGCATTTGGGCCCATATTTCTCTATAATTGGAGCTAATAAATGTCTTCAAATAGCTATTTATGGCAGACTTTGGAAATATTAGCCTGTTATTACTAGAGTTTTGTTGCACCAAAGCCTTGCTCAGCTCAAAATGCAATGGTAGCAAAAAGCAATCCCTTAGGACTGTTGTCTGCTGTCCGGCCAGCAAGGTGAGAGTGGCTGACTTGTTTTAATGTTTCAGCTGCTTCCATTTTTTTTTAAATTAATTAATTTATTTATACAAGCACTGGGTACAGTCAGAAGCACAGGAGGGTGAGAGAATTCACCAGAGCCAGAGCGGGGAACAGAACAGGCAGAAGGACCCAAGTACACTACTGAGGGGAGCAGCGGGCGGCAGGAGAGGTCTGCGCGCCATGTGGGACCCTCGCCCGCATCCGGGGATCAAACCAACGCTGCAGAGGCTGTGGGCAGCTTCGCAGCCCAGCGCTCAACCGCTGCGCCACCACCGGAGGCCCTACTTCCATTTTATCACTTGAAAAGTCTTTCAATTATTTAAACACACTCACAGAAGAAAGTAAGTGGGATTTGGAGTCAGAAGCATCAGACTGAAATCCGAACTCTTACAGGTAATGTGGCTGATTGGATTACTTTAAAAAAAATACTCTCTCCTTTCTCTTTCTTCTACCCTTCTTCATGGAGAATTGTAATTCCCTGTCCCCTTGACTTGAAGGTCAGTACATGAAGTGTTAGGCCAAGAGAAAGTGGGCAGACTCTGGTACCTCTGTCTTGGCAAGTCCCCCGGTCAGGAGGCAGAGGGACATGGGATCACACCAGCCTGTGATTTGGAGTCACCCAGCCAGTCCCCAGCTAAGAGAGTGACTAGAGTTTCAAGTTTCAGGGCGGTTTGAAATGCACTGATGCCTGAGAGACACAAAGGCAGAGACTCAGTTTCAGTTAGCGTGGGGATAACACCTACATCAAGTGTGATCTAAATAAATGACAACATACATGACTTTGCCTGTTTAAGAACAAGTAGCATGTCCGGCCCCTGCTATGCCTCCCCCAATATTGTAAGTAAGCTGGGACTACAGGACTACATTCCTCAGAATTCTCTTCCCTGTATGATCCTGGGTTAGCATGGGTCACTAGGGAAATAGAGAAATTTTGTGCAAGGTTCAGAAGCCAGAAATAAGGCAGCAGACATATTTGGTATGCCCTGAAGGTTGGACCTGGGCACTTCTGCACACTGTTGCTGATCTGCCCACTTGTTTGGTTCTAAACCAACTACTATGCAAGCCCAGGGAAGGAACCCAGCTCCCCCTCGAAGTCATCAAAAGCGTAGAGGTTGGGAGCAGTGAGAGACAAATGTAGGTCCCAGTTTGTATTTTCTCTTGTTTACACCAAGTTTTCTTTTCCAACTACCTATTTGGTTGACCTATAGCTACCTCAGGCTCAAGCTCAGATCGGAGGTAATAGCCTGCTTGATGCCACTAGCTCCCAGCCCACATGGATCTAGCCCTTAGAGCAAATCCTTCATCTCTATCATGCATGGTTTTTCTGCTTCTCGGGATTGAGCCCTGATTACATCACGGCTGAGCCCATTGCCATGTAAACCTGTAAATTCTAGCAAGGCCCACAGATCATGTCTTTTTAAGAAAAAGATCCTTTTTTACTTTGAGATAAGGAATTTTCTCTGCTTTGGCTGCGTATCAGAATCACCCAGGGAGACTCTTTAAATATCTTGATTCCCAAGCTGCCTCCAGCCCAATGAAATGATTCTCAGGGCACCCTTGTTTTAAAGCTCCTCGGGTGATTCCAACATGCTGTGAAGTCTGTAGTCAGTTCTAGAGAGCAGTTCTCAAACTATAGCTGCATGGGAATCACCTGGTGGCCTTTTTATTTTTTTAAAGATTTATTTATTTATACATACAAGCACTGGGCACAGAAGCGTGGGAGGGCGAGAGAATTCACCAGAGCCAGAGCGGGGAGCAGAACAGGTAGAAGAACAGAAGCACACTGCTGAGGGGAGCAGCGGGCGTGGCAGGAGAGGTCTGCACGCCATGTGGGACCCTCGCAGGTGGCCGGGGATAGAACCGGTGCTGCAGAGGCTGCGGGCAGCTTCGCAGCCCAGCGCTCAACCGCTGCGCCCCTGGTGGCCTTGTTAAAGCCCACCCCCAGAGAGGCTCAGTAAGGGGGGAGGGCTGGCTCTCCAGGGCTTAGCACTTCTTACACTTATTCTAAGACGGTCCATGCTCAAAACAACGTGGCGTTCCTTTTGGAAACAGAAGAGTTAACTTTTGGTTTTCACGTTTTGTCATTAGTTCACATAATCATTTTCACAGGTTTTCTCAGTCTGAGATCTCAGAAAATGTGCCAGACCTAAAACGCCTTCTGTTTACTCTGTCAAGGCGCCTGCCCCAGTTACTCTCTTGTTTCTTTGGGGGTCCCAACAATCCCCTCCTCTGGGTGCATGTAAGCTCCCTGAAGGCAGATCTCCCTTGTCTTCTTCAAGCAGTGCCAGCCTCCGGCAGGCACTCCACAACCCCCCGCCGACAGAATGAATCCAGAGCACCCCTGAGAAAGAAGTATTGTTATGGCCCGTTTCACAGACCAGGACAGAGCTACAGGAAGATTATTAGCTGTCCAAGATCGCAGTATAGGAACTGAGATTCAACTTGTATCCTGACCAGAGCTGCAAGCATTCATCATCAGCTTTTCTTCCTGGCAATAAACTGAACTACTTTAAGAAAGTCAACTATCTTTGCCTTACTGCCACAGATTCAGAGCCTTATTTATTTTTTTCAAATAAAGACAAATATCCTGAGCCCAAACCTATGAGGCCAACAAATTATTCAACTGTTTTCCTATTTCAAAGTTCTACTTTCCATACCAAAAAACTACTTACCATGCCCCAAAGCGGGCTACAGATTTCCTCCTCATAAAATTCCATCAAAACCTTTTAATACAAAATGCCATTTAGGGGAAGAAAAATTACATCAAAACAATTGGATTTGAACGATCAGACTTTATTTAGCATGCCAATAATTTATTCTGGTAATAAATTAATATATATAATTATCAAAAATATTGGGTGCTTTCTAAGAAAAATGCTTCTGAGCATCTCAAGTATATACAAAGTCCTTTCAACAGCTGACTTTACCATTTCCAAGCCCAGAAGCGTGGTAACATCAAGTTACTGACGAACAGTCGCTTTATCATGATTTAGTTTCAAGTTCATGGAGGTTTCAATGACTTCAGCTTCTCCAACTTTTGATGCCGGAAATTGAAAGATATCACTGATCCAGTCTCCTAGTTACACAGATGAGGAATTCACTGGCCTTTCCAAGATTACCAGGGGATGAGACAGAGCCTGCATTACAGACCATTTCTCAGAGGCGCTCTGAAATGTCTGTTGAGCTAAGTAAGGCACATAAATCCCCCAGAACCCTAGACATAGCTGAAAGATCCTGGTTTTACTTCTTGCTCCACAGAGTATTCAATCCTGATGTGTTCTTTTGTGGCCAAAGGTGAACCTGGTGACTTGATTGCTTTGATCTCAAAATCATTCCCACGAGGGCAGCTTATCACAGACCACTGATTGCCAGCGGCCTTTATGCTTTTTACCTGGGATGGACTTGGGTAACTTCTCTTCCTACTCTTCTGTGCTCCTAGACCATCAAGGGCGTCCTTGTTTGAAAATCAGCTGCAGCAGCGGAAGCTAATGTGTCACAGTTACTTACAAAACCATCCTCTGTGTGGGGGGCTGTTCGTTTCTCCTTCCCAGCGCTCGCGTGGACCCTGCTCTGTTCATCTCAGCAGTCACTGGTTCCTAAACAGCTGTGGACCATTTCTGGGGTGTCAGTGTTCCAAAGAGTCACGATTTCTCACCACATCAAGAGTACGCCCTGTCATGCTTCATGTAACATAGCAAGCACTCCGGCACTCCATTGCTGACTATGGCTCAGCCTAACAGTTGCAGGGAATTGTGCTGCTGGCACATCAAAGGGCACTCGCTTTAATTTAAACCCCTTAAGCATGTACGCAGCACATTTTGCAGGCAAAGGATGATAACAATCTGGCGAGCTGGTTTTCTAATTGTGGGAGTTATTCCCAAAACCACCTGTGATTTTTTTTTTTAACATTATATGCACAAAATTGTGTACATAAAGGGAATTTCTGAATTTCCACGTGATTCTAATGTTTGCTACTCTTAGCCATGCAGCAGAAGACTGATGGCCTTTATGTATCCCCTTTTCTCCAGGGTCATATTTCTCTGAGCGAATGTGGGGTCTGGTTATAGGTACACAGGCTTATTAGATGTGCCCTCAGGGATATATTCACTTAGAGCAGACATCTCATTTGCTCATGTATTTGCTCATCCTCAGCAAATACAAGAGTTGTTGTGGACACTCTACCCTTTAGCAGGAGTAACTGGGGTTTGTGACAATGCCCAGCACACAGTGCAGACAGGAACTGACCCTCACCTGGAATGCAATTTCATTAGCCTAATTTAAAAACAAACAGACAAACAAGAACCCAGAGATAAGACATATTATTTGTTCTGATCTGGCAAAACCATTCACGCATTTAACTCACTAATTTGGCAGGTTTTGCTCTTATTCTGTTACCAATTTCACCTCCTTTAGCAGTTTTTCTTTTGATCCTGCCCCAGTTTTCAAGGAATATGCAGAAGATTGGTAGGGAAGCTCCATATTCTTTGACCAAGGCACTTTTGGACTTTCCTCCCTTACTAATTTCAATTGTGGAGAAACTGTGAGCAAAATGTTTATTTCTTTAACACCATGACCAGAGCTGGGCACGTGGTATAATAGAAATGAGAGGTTTTCACAGGAGGCGAGCATCCTAATAATGGGCAAGACGGAGGAGCTGGCTTGATGTGGGAACCGGAAGTGCAGAACTGACAAAGCAACTAGTTTTGAACGGCAAAGTTAAACTGTCAAAGAAAGGGCTAATTTTACTAATCCTACGAAGTCAAAAATAAAATCCCCTTTTTATAAGGAATCCTAATGACTGAGGTAGATAATGCTGTTATCAGATGACATAATGAGGCATAGGATATACAAACGATCAAACAGAAGGAAAGAAGTACTGATTAGAAATGTTCTTCCTTTAAATTCAGATAGACAATAAGAACACTTCCAATCCAAAGGTGTAAGCATGAAATCCAGGCAAGTTGTGGAGTCACTTCTTTAAGTGCCGATGAGGGAACAGCACCCCTCACAGTGGCGGCCCCCAGGAAGAGTTGTGGCTTTGCTTTCCCAATTGTGTAGGGTTGTGACCCCTAAAGCCTTCTTCAGCATTTAACTAGTTCTTTGTTGGTGGAAGGGGCTGGGACTGTTTCTCCACACATAAACTGATCCTAAGACAGAACAAGAAACGACATTAATCACCGGCTATCTGTGTCACGAAAACTTTCATTTTGTTACAAAAATCAATCCTGTTTCTCTACTGCTCTATCACTTCATCCTTGTTCACAATCAGAGTCAGCACTGGAATAACAATTTGAAAAGTGTGTCTGTTTTTAGTCCTGAATTCATACTTAATATAAGGCACCCCGTCTTATAAACAAACATGTCTTTCTGTACTACACAGCATCCGTGTCTCAGAAATCACATTTGCAGACATCTCACACTTTGTAAGTTTCTTTATGCATTACTAGCTGTACTAAAATTTTTCCACTTCAATATTTGGTCATTCAATTATCCTTTTCAAAATAATTACTTCTTCCAACTAACAGGAATAGTTTGTACACGTTTTCTAGTGTAGATAATCTGCAGTGTCAGCTATTTTGTTCATGTAATTCAATCTCTGATTATTTAGCCTGGCTTATGTCAGCTAGCACAAGAACCTCGGCCTCCCCAATGACCTTTCACCTGCAACCTGGACCCTGTATGGGCCAGCCCTATCTGTCACTATCCCTCTCTCATTCCCACCCAGCACCTGGAGCCCTCCCACTGTGCTGTTTGAAATTTATGGTCCATCTTTAGCACAATACTCCATATTCTCAACCTCTTCTTTACAATGTCTCTGTGCTGCCTTGCTCTAACACAGTGGCTCGCAGAGTGAATAGGGAGGGCTTGCTTTATTCCTCTGGGGGTATATGGCAAAGGGGGTGGTAACTGCACCCAATGGGTAGAGGCCAGGGATGCTGCCAACCAACCTACAATGCAGTCAGCTCTGCACAACAGAGCTATTCGGGCAACATGTCCACAATGCCGAGGAGGAGCTGAGGCCACCACCCAAGGACGCTATCCCTTACATCACCGAAAGTGATGGTTCTATGTTTGCAGAGTCCTAGCACCTCTGAGATTACAGGGAGAGCTGGCTGCCCCGTTCAACACTGTTTTCCTCCTTTCTCTAGAGCCAACCAACTGTGACTCATACATCAAAAAACAGTATCATCATTCTCTGTTGCTGTCATCTACACCTCCCAACCCCCCCAACCTCTCATTCCAAAAGATGAAGCCCCCAAGTGGCCCACCAACACCTTTGTGATCTGCCCTACTCCACAAATTTCATCTTGGACCACTCTCACTCTTCTTTGCTCTGCTCCCAGTTTTTGCTCAAACAGGCCTCTCAATAAAGCTGCCGCGATCATTCTGTTCAAAACTGCAACCTTCTCTCATGAGGTTAAGTCCTCATTCTCACCACTCCTATATTCATTTTAGACTTCATTCTTAAAGAAGATTAAGCTCCATAATGAAGTCTCCATTCAAAGTACTGGTCAAAAATTGGGATGGTCAGTATATAAATAAACAGCATTTATTTTTTTTTCAACTAATAATGAAATGGGAAAACTGCAACTATGACTTACATTTCCATTAAGATACTGCAGAGTTTGACAATAAGTCAGATAAGAAATATATAATCATTGTCTTCAAAATAAGCCTAGGAGTACTGAACAATGTACATTATTTATTAAATAAAGGAGGAATAAAGACCGTCAGTCATATAACCTCCATAATTATTTACTTCCTATTTAATAATAATTTTCATTAGCTAACGAGCATTTTTGTGAATTGTCCTTTCAAAGCTAAAGTAATCTGAACTTCTAAAAGCTGTGTTTAATTTACACCACAGTTGTTTATTAATGGTTTTTAAAATTTGTTTTGGAAAAAAAAAGCATCTATCTAACACGTTTATGAAACATTCCTTACATATCACAGACTAGGGGTTTCTAAGTCCTTGCTACTGCCGCAACCCGTCCCCCACCTTTGAAATTCGACTCCTTACTTTGTCATAAATCACTTTTATGATGAGGGAGCAACTAGGACACGTGGCCACGTCTTCCCCATTCTCCAAATCTTCCTACAACAAAACAAACATCGTCCCATCAGCATAGTCTTTCCTTAGCAAAACATCTCCTCACCCGAATTCTCACGCCCTATTTATTCCTAATCCTTTTCATGGCATCCCTCCCCCAAGAGACGCGTGAGCCGAAAGAGAAAAGCCGACCCTCTGTTGTGTGGAAACGCCACTGAGGGGAAACGCCTAGGAAGGCTGACTAAGCTCGGTTGCCGCAAAACCCTTGGCAAGACAGAAACGCGTCCTTTTCTCCAAAGAAGCGTGTTAAGAAGGAACCCAAGCAGCAGAGGGAGGGGAAGACCAGCACTCACCGCCACCGCCAGGTCTAACTAAAGGGAAGACCTGGCGCCCTCTGGCAGCTCAGAGTACCCACCTGAGCAGAAACTGGACGGAAAGGAAGCCGGGAAGCGACGGAGCCAGGAAAGGAACCCCGGGGAGCGAAAGAGCGCAGGCTGAGGCCAGCGGCTGCGCGGGCCCCTCAGGTTATGTTATAGGGCAGCCCCGATACAAAACGGGGTGCCTGACTGTGGGTCTTCACCCGCGCGCTTAAGAGGACTTAACAATGCTCTACTGCAGGCACACGCGAAAGGTTAATAAAAGGTTTATTTACAAGGGAAGGGGAAATGAGGAAATGTACAGCTCAGGGAGAAAAGTGGGAGACAAAGTTTTAAATGCGTCCTACCAGATCCGCAGATCTGGAATCCTAAATTGCGCTCTGAGAGCTGGCCGCGAGCCAGGAGCCCCGAATTTTAGACCCAACCTGGCTGCTTAACCCCACCCTCAGGTCCCAGCCACCCTCCCTTTGGTGGTGACGGGATTTGTCTTTCCCAATGTCTTGATGGCTTTGGTCTGGAGTGGGGGTGGCGTCCACAAAGCCTGTAAGGGATTAGCTCAGGACATCCTTCCCCCCTAACAGTTACAGGGCAGGGAGAGGGGCAGCCCAAACCTGGGGACCACCCTGTTACAAGGTTACCTTGGTGATGCAGAAGTTATCCCCACAGGGGCAGGGGTAGAAATACGCCTCCGCGTCCTCGTCATATTGGAAGTCCTCGATCTCTACCTCGTCGTGAAACACCGCCATTGTCGCTGGGGCCCTCAAAGGGCTGTCACCCCCTCAATCTCACACCACCTCAGCCCACCTCCTCATGCGCCGGCCAGAGCCGGTCGCTCTCACCACGTCCCGGCGAAGGTGCGACCACTTCCGGCGCGTAGACAATGACGCAACGCTGGGGTCAGGGGTCAAATGGGTGACCGGGGAGCGGTCGTCATGGAGATGGGTGAGTTAGGGGGCGGAGACACTGAAGCCGGTGCTCCCATTGGACGGAAGCGACCAATGGAATGTGGAGCCCGCACGCGCTGTCGCTACGTCACGGCAAGGACACCGGAAGTTCTCGGGCGCCGGCGGTGGGTTTCGCCGGGTCTGACAGATCCGGGCGTGCGGCCGCGGCGCCGGGGCGCTTAGAGCAGCGATGGCTGCGGGATCTTAACCAGACCTGGCTGGAGGCCGCGTGGGCTTAGGGAACAACAACCCCGCCCCCCACGCCTGCGAAAAAAGGGGGACTCTGCTGCCCTTCCTGTGCGGCGGCGGGGAGCCGCTCGGCCACCTCGCACTCCCTCCCCGCCTCCCCAGTGGCCACGAAAGCGCCCCTGGAATTTTGATTGACCGCGTGACCCTGCGCTCGGGGCGGCGCTTAGCCTGTAGTTCTGGCTGCACTTGGCTCTTCAGGTACCTGTCCTCCTCCTCCTCACTCCAGATTATCTTTAAATGTCTTAATTTGTGTTGCTGACAGGACCAAAACCTGGAAGCAGAGATTGTGCCCTGGTTTCTCACAGTTGCCAGGCTTACTGCATTGTTAGCTACAGTCTGTGTATTTATTTAACAGTAACAGCATCATCCCCTTTTATTTAGTTTGCTGTGTGCATGTTACACTCAGTGTCGTTCTCCCATTACTCCCAGGAGTTTCCATGTTACTGCATTTTATTAGCCTTCAAATGGAGATACAGAGAGTTGGGTGGCTGCACACCTAGGAAATCACACGCCTAGGAAATGAAGAGCCAGTCTGACCCCAAAGCCCAGAACAATTTAATATTTACAGGAACCACAGATTTTTCTTTGTGAAAGGAAAGACGTCAGCACGCAGAGTTATTGCCATGGGGCTTCTGTATGCCTTGAAGTGAAATGCAAATAAAAGGTTATTTGTCTTGAGAGCAGTGTTGATGCCTGCTCTGGTCCAAGCTGATTCTATGGGGGTGTAACAATACTATTCGCATTAAAGCAAGATGGAGTCAGAACTGAGCCCAGTTCTACAGATTCCAAGTCAAGTGCTCTTATAACCAGTGTCTCACTAGGTCCCCTTGCCAAATGTGAAAAACAGGAGTCCCCTTGCTTTGTCCATGTCACCTAGGAGTCTAAATCAACACAAGACATGATAGTTCTCTGAGTTTACTTGGTTTCTGTGCATTAATGATCACTGAGGTTTTCTTGGATTTTCTCTTTCACTTACATCATACACCTCACCCAATCGATCAGCCATAGAGCTGTAATCCCAAAAGGTATTCCATGTTCCTCTACTTCTGTCATTTCTGTGGCTGTTATTTTAGTCTAATCTCAGACTAGAACCTCCTAACTGGACATCCTACTTCAATTTTTGCCCCTTTATGATCCATTTTTCACATAACAGCATGAGCAGCCCTTTAAAAATGCACATCAGGGCTGTTGCATGCATTCCAGATTTGGTTTCATCAATAACCCACCGTCATAGCCGAGAAGGCAACATTGCCGGAGGTGTAATGGACTTTAGTGTGTTGTACCGGAGGTGCTAAAGACAGCCCCCATCCTCTCTGGCATAGCACATGGAATTCATGAAGCCATCAAAGCCTCAGGGCCAAGCCTCATGGAGTACTTGCATCCAACTCTGATGAGCCTGTGTATGTCCAATCAGTGGAGGCCTTTGTGCAGAACCAAATCAGCCTACTTAAGGCTGATAACCACCAGAAACTAGGGAATGGGTGGGAAATTGACAGGGAAGGGAAACCGGGTAAAGTCACTGGTTAGAGTTTTGTGGTAGTTCAGGATGATGGCAAAGAGTCTCAGACCAACGATGCCATTGAGGAGTACTGCACATCAAGAAATGAACCAATGACAAACTCTTGTTCCTTAAAAAAAGAAGAGTAAATTCATTCAAACCATTCAGTTGCTTCCTATTGCGCTTAGAATATAATCTGTGACCTCGCCACACCACGTGTGTGGCTCTGCGTCACATCTGACCCCTCTCAGCTAACCCTCTCTGCTCATACTGGCTGCGCTTCCTGCACAAGCTGGCCTGTTCCTGTGACTGGACCTTGGCCCAAATGCTGTCCCTTAAAGTCTGCTTGACTGCTTTTCCTCCTCTTCAGGCCTCAGCCAGATGACTCTTGAGAGAGGACCTTCCTGATATTCCTTCCCAACCCCATGCATCTTACTTCCTTTTTCACACTCGTTGAAATCTATGTCCCTCTCCCTCATTCCCTGTTGACTGGTGTCTGTACCCCACACTGTAAGGAAAACGTTACAATGGCAGGGGACTTGGGTCTGCTGCTTTGTTGTGCCTCCTGAGCCACAAAATGCCTGATACCCCTGTCACTGCAAATAAATAGTGTACTGACTGAGCAGAAACCAGAATAGTTCCTCTTAAGCCTTAATCTAATCTGTGTTATACTCCTTAAATGGATGTGTCATTTTATATTTTTTTCTGTTTCAACAATATCATTTATTTTTTGAAGAGGTGAGCCCTGTGAGGACACAAACATTGATAGAATATTCTTTTCTGTATGGATTTAGAAATTACTTAAGACTGTAGTTACTTAAACTTACAGTAAATATATGAAACCATTAGACTTTTTCTTTCTTTTAAATGAGAGTTGCTGAGTTTGTGTTTGTTTTAGTACCTTAGCGCTTTGGAAGGTACTTTGAACACACTTTGATAAAAATGCCCTGCACTTACCAGTAGGTGTCACTCTTGATCATAGTTACGCTTCTTAGGAAATTTTAGAATTTTACAGAGAACAGCTTTTAAAAATTAACATTTCTCTATTTTCCAGTTCAGTCAAGCAGTAGACCATTTAAAGAGCATAATCACTAAAAGATGTATTTTCTTCAAGGACAAGTTATTTTAGCAATAGTTATCTAAAAACATTGAGCAGAACAGCGTTTCTGTATTTATTTTAACTGTATGTCACGCAAATTTTATCAGGGCACCTGGCCTTAAAGGATATGCAACTGTATCATTCCAGTTGTTAGCCTGGTGTTTCAGGGGGTGGATCCTAAGTAGCAGGAGTTAATGTCAGGACAAGAAAGATGAAAACAGAAGCAGTAAGAGAAACAATCAAAATTGGAGACAGGAGAAAGACTGGAAAGTGAATCGTTAAAAGTTGACTTCGCTGTGAGGTGGTGTTATTATAACAGGCCTTCCCTTCTACAGCTAAGATAGTTGAAATTGTTATAGTTTCCCAAGTAGTGTTCTTACATGTTGTCTCTGCCATTGCAGGAACTTTGTAAGACTTTCTGTGTGGGGTACACTGTTCATGTTCCAATGGGTGTAGCCCAAGGTCTCAGTGTAACACCAGGACCAAAATAGTATGTGTCAGTCAGTCCACCTGCCATACATTAAAATCTCATGGACTCTAAGTTGCATTTTCTTTCGTTCAACAATCAATGAACCATTTCTGGTTTAGCACACTGAAAGGAGAGAAAAATTTCATAGTCTCGCCTGAGGTGAAAGAGCTTTTTTCATTTACTGAAGAGAAAAATAGCAAGTAGGTCCCTTAACCATAGTGATGCTGTGTATATGTTATACTTGGATAGAAAGTTATAAAACAAAACAGAACACAAAGATTTCCTCAATATTTCAAATTCTAAAAACTATTAGTCTATCAGGAAAAGTACTGATTTCTACCATTGCATTCACTCTGCCAACTTTTAAATATTTCTCTACCCCAAATGGCCACATTTAACATGCTATATTCCCATATCTGTCCTTTCCTTAGTTATCTTGAGAAGAAATAAAAATCTATGGGAATATTAATCTTTCTGAGCTCTCAAAGGCCCAGAATAAATTAATTATAATAAATTTATTGTTAGAAAAATATCCATGTCTTACTCCACAGTGACACAGCCCTTCATTTGGCAAATGTTGACTAAGAGTCCATTATGTGCAACTTTTCATGGAAATATTTTTACTTTCCTTTTTATGTTTCCCCAGGAAGTGCCATGGCCTGTGCTGCCATCGTGAATCCTGTGCTATTGAGAGGCTCTGTCGGTGCCGTCTGTTCTCACTCCCCTTGGGTGACACGTAGTGCTTGGCGCCACCTTTTTCTAACCAGGTGAGTCGTCGGTCCTCAGTGTCATTTGAGGTTGATTTGCGAAGAGGTGACGGGCTGATGGCGTGGGAGGCACGTCGCATTCCTGAGGACATTCCTTAATGGGGCGCTCAGCGGGGCATGCCATCAGCAGATCCCCAAGCTTTAGTTGGGTGGCGGCCATTTGTCTGGGATCCATATTGTATTTTGGGCAGCCATGCCATCGCAGGGGAAAGTAGGTGAATTATATTGTAGGAAGAGATTACGTAGTAACCTAATTTTACTTTCTGTTAAAGCATGGTGAAATCCAAAAGGAAAACTGACCACTTGGAGAGAACCGCCAATGTCGTTCGACAGGAGGTTTGTACCTTTGGGTTGCGGCAAGTTCTAGGCTGCATGGTCTGCACGGTTGGGACTGGTCTGCAGAGAAGTCGCTAGATGAGGAGCTTGGCCCTTTTGAAGGACGTCGTGGAATGTTTGATTTTGCTTTTTTGATTTTATTCAGACATTTAGCTTTAGTGTTATAAGTATATTTAAACTAATAGTAGGAAAAAACCATGTATTTCACACAGGAAGGATTATACATTTCTGTAAACACGGTCAGAAATTGTATTGCCACATTCGTTTAATTTTTATTATGACTATAGTAGGATACATTTTCTTGCAAAAGAATATTTGACTCCTACTTTCAAGCTATTTCTATTGTCAGAAAATGGTTCTGGGACCAGGGGTGGTGTGTTTGTTGGAGTCAACTTTAAGTCATTGTTTTATGTTTTTTTGGGAAGTCTGTGGAAAATTAGTTCAGCATAATACATTTATGGGTGTTTGGGAAAATATGCCTTTCCCACTGGTGATACTCTGAAAATACTTTTTATTTTGATTTGTTCAATACACAAAACTGCTGGTTCTGTGGGAGATTTGTTAAGGTTTCTTTTTTTTTTTTTTAAGATTTATTTATTTATTTATACAAGCACTGGGTACAGTCAGAAGCACGGGAGGGTGAGAGAATTCACCAGAGCCAGAGCGGGGAGCAGAGCAGGCAGAAGGACCAAGGTACACTGCTAAGGAGAGCAGTGGGCGGCAGGAGAGGTCTGCGCGCCATGTGGGACCCTCCTCCAGTGGCCGGGGGGCAGCCGGGGATCGAACCAGCGCTGCAGAGGCTGCGGGCAGCTTCGCAACCCAGCGCTCAACCGCTGCGCTACCGGGGAGGCCCCTGTTAAGATTTCTTTTTAAAAAGTAAAATGATTGTTTTGAAGAAAGAGTGGTTTATTCCACACTCTTCTGTTGTATTTTGATGCAAGTAGATTTACAGCAGTTTTGGTAATTCTGTAAAGGGCCAGATAGTGTTTTAGGCTTGCGGGGCCTTGCTATCTTAGTTCCAGATATAAAACTCTTTCTTTGTGACATGTGAAGACAGCCACAGGCAGCACATGAACAAATCAGCATCGCTAGATCCAATAAAACATGCTTTACCAAAACACCCAGACTAATTCTGTGGATCATAGTTGCCAATCCCTGAGTCACTTCAGAATTGCTCAGAACAAAAAGCATTGGGACTTTGGGCCTTATTTTGAGCTAAGTTTAAGTACACTACACAGAAGTAGTGTTTTTGATGGAGAGTTGACAATTTTAATGCCCAGGAGCCAGAAGTCATAGGGGTAATTCTATCACAGGATTACCTTGGCAGAAGAATTTCCAACTCTGAGTCTCCTCCTCCTCCTCTCGGGTTTCTCATTTCAGCTCTTTGCCTAAAGGAACAACATCTGGGAGGAGGGAGATAAAGCGAAGTGATATCTGAGGCTACCCCACTGGTGTAAGGTCATCAGGGGTTCACCCCAACCCTTCAGATGCAGCTCCTAGCCATAGAGCAGCAGCGCAACCTTGGACTTGTCAAAATGAACAGCACTACAGGTTGGGCTGTAACCAAACCACACCACCTTCCCCGTCCTCTACCATGCTTGCCTTTAATTTGAATAGCAAGTATCTTTTACAAAGCTCCCCACCTGTCATTTGTTCTTCAGTTCAAGTCTGAGAGGTAGCCTGAAGGTAGGAAGGCTCTGTATTGTACAAAAGAGGAGGCTGGCTGAACCTAGGCGTTAGCTTATGCTCCTTCAGGGCCCAAGGAAAGCTCCAGCCCAGGTCTGATTCCTGCTGCCCCTCCTGGAGTGGGTGAAGAACGGAGCACACCCCCACCCCGAAATGTCCCTTCCACATTAGGCATCATGTTCCTGCCACAGAACTTGTTGAATGTTCGTATTATGATGTTAATGCCTCTTGGGGACTATAAATGTAACCAGCTTGTGGGCGGAGGAGGGTCATGCCGATGCCAGAAACAGCTCTGAATTGAATGACATTTGACAGTGTTCAAGTTCACATGTTTTTCTTAAGGATCAAAGAATAAGCAGTCTGGCTTAGAAATGTCAAGGAGATAAGAGTAGAAATATTGTAATGCAGTAACGGTTGTTCCGGCAAGGCTCAGATGACTTCATCGGCGAGGTCACTGCTTGGCCTCTGCAGAGGGTTGGCCCACTGAGTGAAATGGCCTCTAGCCAGCAATTGGATGGGAGAATTTGGTAGTGAAAAAATTCTTCCAATTACTGATTCTCAAGCATTTGTTTGGAAATGATGCCAGACACTGAAGGTCCTGGGATTACAGTCTTGAAAATGGTAAGTAAGGTTCTTGCCCTCAGTCTGGAAGGGACTCCTATCAGGAGACACTGGCTTTCCACACCTAATTGATTTTAGAAAAGCCACTAACTATTTTTCAGCTATGCTAGTTTGCTTCTTGTAGAAGCCCGTGCATGATCTTACAAATGCCTTATGTATGTTGTTACCTTAAGGGTTCAGTAGCGCGTGTGTGCGTGCATGCGTGTGTGTGCATGTGTGTGTGTGCGTGTGTGTGCGTCTTCCCATATCATCAAGCAGTTCTCCGACACTGGCTGGGTATCCTACAGTTCTACTCAGTTCTGACACTGTCTGCCCTGAGAGCATCAGGTCCCACAGTAAGGCTTAAGCTGTCACCCAAGACTCCTCTACCCCCCATCTCCAGCTTTCAGTCTCAAGTCTACTTGTCACCGTGCTTCTGACCAACCAGCTATGAATCTGGAGTTCTCAAGACCCTCCTCCTGAGTCCAATAAGTTTGCTAGAGCAGCTTACAGAATTCAGAGAAACATTTTACTTACTAGATCACTGGGTGCAACTGAGGAAAAGCCAGATGGTAGAGACACACAGGGGAGGTCTGGGAAAAAGGCACAGAGCTCTGCTACTCACCGAGCACCCCAGTGTCCTCAAATCTCCATGCATTCACCAACGTGGAAGCTCCTGGAACCATCCTTCTGGGTTGCTAGAGGCGCTCCACCACACAGGCCTGCTTGCTTGTCGGCTGGCAGTTGATTCAACCTGCATCCCTTCTCTTCCTGAAATTCTGGGGATGGACCAACCAATCACATGGTTGGTGCCCCCGGTGACCTGCCCCCTCCTTTTGGGGGTTGAATAATTTAGTGGATGTCGATGGTAGCGTGTGTTGGCTAAGGTGGAGAAGAACAGGTTCGGGGGAGGGGAATAACGAAGTCAATTTTGGAGAAGTCTGAGGTGTGAGGGTGGGTGGGAGATGGAACCGCAGATGAAACAAGATGAGCTACGAGTTTTGTCAAGTTTAATCAGCTGTTGAACCTGGGTCATGGGTACATGAGAATTCATTATGCTATTTTTACTACTTTTGTGTATATTTGAAATGTTCCCCAAACATGAAAAGGAAGAAGCGGGAGAACACAAAGAGTTCTGTGTTAAATGGATATATGAATTTGGGAATAAAAAGTTTAAGCTGTGCTGGAAATAAAAAGTTTCAGCCGTGCAGAGATATCGTTACTGCTTTCCTCACTTAGGAGGTGCCAAGAGTTTCAAAAGCAAGATAGAGGGTAAAGAAGGAGGGGCCAGGACTGAGCTCTGGGATGAGTCCATATTTAGAGGTTCAGCAGAAGTGGGGGGTGGATGGCGGGGGTTCAGCAGAGGAGAGGGAGTGAGCAGTGAGGCGGGGGGGGGCATCAGTGTCTTGAAGTCCTGAGTTACAGGAGTCACTGTCCTGCTGAATTCTGCCGTGAGGACATCACTGGGCTTATCAGAGACCAGCTTTAGCACCTTGCTCAGGGAGAACAGAAGGCAGGAAAGCAGACGAGGACCACACATAACTCATGAACTATTTTTACGTGAATGGGAGTAGAGAAAGGGGTGATGATCGCTGGATTAAGGGAGAGGCTTGTTTCGCGTTTGATTTGAGAAGCCGCGAAGCACAGAGGGCAGGTGTCGGGAATCAAATCACTGCTTTGCCACTTAGAGGCTGCGGGGCCTCAGTTTTCTCATGAAACACCTGCCTTCTAGGGTTGTTGTGAAGATTGATTGAATTAATGTATGTAAAGTAATGCATGGTGAGCACTATATATAGGTGTTTGCTGCTGCTCTTCCAACGTGAGACGGGATAGCCAAGCACTCACCTGTGTTCCCCCGCAGAGGGGGAGAGAGGGATGATGGCTGAGAGAAGGTGCTTCGTGAAGTAAAGACAGGAAAGGGCACAGAGGAGATTCAGCCCAGGTGGGCCTTGCTTGCCAGGATGTAGACTTGACAGGCTACGTCACTGGAGAAGTAAAATTTTATAGTTGACAGGATTTTGTGGTCCTTCCTTGTCAGTAAATCATTTCAGTAAAACCAGTTTCATTTAGTCAAATTCCTCCTCAGCAGGTTGGTGTTCTGCGCAATTTAAATGTCTCTGGTGTCTCTGGGTGTCCTCATGTGTGAAATAACGTGCTGTTCCTGACAATGACTAAGTTGTCCTTCAACTCTGAAATCCTCTGCCCTAACTTTATTTTTGTTTCAAGTCATCTCTCATCCTAGCTTTGTTTAAATTGTAAGCCAGCTAATGAATGAATGGGCGTGAACAGACACAGCCAGCAGCCAGGTTTCCCAAAGAAAGACCTGCTTCCGGAATAGAAATTTTTGCAGAAGTAACATCAAAATATCCCACATAAAACCAGCTCTTAAAAATCAGTATGATGGAATTTCCTCTTAGATGCTGACTCCGTCAAAGCATTAAAAATATGAGCTAGTAAAAGTTGGCAAATGTATTGTTATTTTATTGAACAGTAGAAGAGTCTAAATGTTATTTTATGGAAAACTTCATTTCCTGCCATGTGTTTTAACTTAGGACATGGCTAGTTGAGGTTTCAGTTGGGAAATCTTTTGATCCATTAAGTATAAGAGCAAGTACAAATGTAAAACATAGTTTCTCCATCATGTTCTGCTTATTCAATAAAAGTAAAGAAAGAATGGCCTATAACAAGGGCCATGATTACAGATCTTAATTATGTGAAACTAGCTTCAGAATAAAACAAAGATGCAGCCTTCAAAAAGATTTTGCTAATGTTTTTAATCCACTTTGCTAGAGATCTTTGTGTGGTGTACATTATTTGTATTAAATAAAATGGAGTGGTGAGAGGGAGGCATATCTTTGCAAACCACTCATTCTGCAGGGTACTCTGTTTCCCAGTTCTGGCAGTGTTGCCCGTGTTATCAGGACTAGTAGCAAGAGGTGTGTGTGTCTGCGTGTGTGTGTGTGTATATATATATATATATATATATATACGCATGTATATATGTATGTATGTATATATGTATGTGTGTATATATGTGTGTGTGTATATATGTGTGTGTGTATATATAAAATACAGTGTGTATATAGTATATATATGCTATATACTATATATGCTATATACTATATGTTATATACTACATACTATACACTATATATACACTATACTACACTAGATGTAGTACATATACTATATATATATATATATATCATTGCCATGTTTAAAGTTTATATGTACCTAGTTTCATTCAAGAATCTAACTGATGTCAGTTAAACTGTTACAAATGAGATAATCTAGCTCTTGACTGTATTTTTACAGATTATTACATTGAAAGAAAATAATGAATGTTTATAAAATAAATACCTTTTTTGTAAACCTTAAAAAATGAGAGTAATGATGTAATGGTGAATCCTCTGATGATTACTACTTGTCTTTGTAATGAGATATTGAGAAAATGAGGCAAAGGAAGATACCTGTTCTGCTGAAGAAATCCTGCCTTCCTTGATCTCGCCTACAGATTTAAAATTAATCCCAAAGTTCTGTAGTTTTTTTTTTCCACCTGTCTTTGTAAACAACCAAAAGGTTTCTGGACTTCTTAACCTTAGTTCTAGAAACCAATTTTAACTGAGTTTTGTTAAATTTTTTACTCATTTTGCAAACTTACTGAACCTTACAATGTGTTGGTTCTGAGCTTGATCTAGGGAATTGAAAGGAATGTCAAGAATACTCTAGAAGTATTTGTGGGAGGAATGAATATGGTGGGTTCAGTGTACACATAAACGAGTTTCTTGCTGGGACCCGGGCTTGAACCCTGACTCAGCCACTCCTTAGTGATCTTGAGCAAGTGACTAAACCTTTCAGTTTCCTCATCTGCAGAATGGAAAATAACAGCACCATTTCTTGGGGTGTAATATGATTACTCCTATCACCTAAATGATAATGCACTGAATATTTAACCCAACACCCAGAATATACTCGAGACAAACGTGCCTTAGACATTGGCTGTTGTTACTCACAGGAGTGTAATTGTGAGCCTGTGATTGGCAGGGAAATACTGATTAGTGAGGGAGGTGGGTTAGTATCTTTGGGAATGCTTGAGGCCCAACCCAGAGGTAGGAGAGGAATGTGGCCATTTAAAAAAAGATTCAAGGGGCTTTTCCATTGAGGGAGGGAGAAGGAGGAACAGTACAGGAGGAGGAGGACCAGTCAGAGGCAGGAGTTCAGTGTCGGCTGCCCCAGGCACGGAGAAAACTTCAGGGTGGAAAAGAAGTAAAAGAATCAAATTCAAAGAGATCAGGGAGAGTGAGAACTGACACTGGGCGTTGAGTTTGGTTGTTGAGGAAGATGCCAGCCAACCTTGGAAGGAGACGTTGCCAGAGGGAAGCCAGATACCTGTGGTTGTGGAGAGCGTCAGGACTAGGAAAGGCTGTTGGGAAGGAAGCGTCAGTAGAGGCAGGGATTAAAGGCAAGATTTCTCAAAGAGCATAACGACAAGTCTGGCTTTTACATTTATATGAGCAAAATAGTAGGCTGTGGACACAGCCACCGCAGCGCACAGTCCTGTTGTCACCCACGAGAACAGACCTCTTGGTGGCGGACAGCTATTCCTGGGGTCCTGCGTGGCAGCGTGGGTATGGTGGCCCGGACAATAGTAAACTCATGGGCTGTAACAGATAATGTAACAAATAAATGCTAATAATTATCATTATTGCAGTAAAACAACTGACAAGTACTCACTGTGGGCCAGCAGTGTTATAAGTGCTTTGCATGTATTATCTAGTCCTCCCCACCACTCTCGGGGTGTAGGCGTTATTCTCCTTCTACACCTGAGGGACTCAGTAACCAGACCAGAGTCACATGGCTGGTAGTAAGTGCTGGAACCAGGATTAGATACCAGGTCACCCCACTGCTGAGCTGCTGATTCCTCCATGCTATGAACAGCCAGGTTATGCTGCTTCCTTCTATTTTGTTCTTAGTTGCTCAGGTGGGCAAATGCCATTAGACATCATGTCTAATGAAACAGGCCTAGAGAGAGGGAAGTTGAGTATGAAGGAAAGGGTGGTGGGGGCTGATGAGGCAGGGTTTCAGAGTAGATCAGCAGGACTAGCGTCAAAAGCACAGAGAGACAGTGGTGGAAAATCACCCCGCTTGCTCTCAGGGAGAGGAGGAAGTGAGACCTGGCACAAATACACAGAAGGGGAGGCAAGGATTTTGCCGGAGAGAGAGGCAGCCAATTTTAGGAGATGTTTTGAGGTGGTGAGGGAGACAAACATTCTTCAGGAGAACTTTCCAGTGGATTGTTAAGAATTGCCTCCTGCTAGTTGGGTTGGACCAATCCTATCGGAGAAAAGGGCTGTATGAGCTGATGCCAGCGTGGGGGTTCACTGGCCTCCACAGATTCCCCAGCACCCTTTCGAGAGCCAGGAAGCAACCACGCCCCCAAGGAGAATAACTGTTTTGGGCACTTGGTGCTGATTTTGATTTGCTGCAGAGGTGGAGTTAAATGGAGTAGAAGGTAAGGAGTCATGTGTTCTTTTCACCCTTTGGTGAAGAAGTGTCCCAGGTTTAGGGCGGAAGAGAAACCAGAGCCAAGAGGAGCAGAATAAAGGCAAGACAGGCATTTTGAACTTAAGGGGTACTGGATGGTGCTTAACCGAAGGTTGCCTAAATCAGACCTTTTCAGGGTTTCCTAGAAATCAGATCCATCATTAGAATGGTGCTTTTCAAGCTGTCTGGAAGGAAGGGCTGTTTTGTTGTTGTTTTTGTAAAATATAACAAAAAATGAGTTAGAAAAGATAAGGAAAAAAACCATCACGGTGCAGCACAATTCATAGCAGCTGGGACACGGAATCAGCCCAAATGTCCATCTGTAGCGCCTGGATCAAAAAGATGTGGTGTATCCACGCTGGGAAATTATTATTCAGCCATAAGGGGAGATGAAATGCAGCCATTTTCACCAAAATGGAAGGCGTTTGAGGGAATCGTGTGTAATAAAGCAAGCCAGAGTGACAAATACTGGACATTTACATGGCAGAAGATTTGATAGTAAAATACTTACAAAACCTGGTGGACATTAACATCATGAGGGCTCTGAGGCTAATAGGGAGCAGGGAGGGAAAGAGACAAGGGACTAGAAGGGAAGGTGATGAAGGGAAAAAGTTCAAATAAAAAAATAAATACCATTAAATATACTAAAAAGACAGAGTTACAATTCTAATTTGTTTTCTATTATTAGATTAACAATTACTCTGTGAAATTGCTCCCCAAGTTCCTAGGTGCTGACTTGTAGTTTCTGAAATTAGTTTAGCAAGGACTCGCTGCAGTCACAGAACAAGCATGGACTCATGGCCTCGGGGGGGGTGGGGGAGTCTCAGTTTTTTGTGGTCCTGATGGAGAATTTGGCCACCAGGCAGGTGGTTGACGTGGCCCCAAGCACTTACCAGAGTGACACTCAAATAAACGCTTGCTAAGCGGCCCCTTTAAGAGGTGGTTTTTGTCTGCAGAGGAAAATTAAATTAGTCTGATAGCAAGTCTCGAAAATTCGATGATAAAATTTGTTCACCTAGTGGTAGAGAGAATTTCCAAGCAAAGTGAGCTTTGCTTAAAATTTTCAAAAGCATAACTTTAGAAGATTTCAAAAAGCCTTAGATACCTCACAGCCTCGCTTTGTTCCTGGCGTCGTGGACACAGTAACCTCAGCCACAGTTCATCTTTCGGCTCTAGGTGGTGGCGGCTGCCAAGGTGTGTGGAGTTGCCCACGAGTCCCCATCCGTGAAGAGACTCCGCCTGCTGATCGCTGACAAAGGGTTTTCCTTTAAAGCTGGCCAGTGGTGAGTGCTTTTTCTGTTTCCTAAGTTGTGTGTGTTCAGGAAGGTGCTGTCAGATGGAAGGGCTTGTTTTTCCTTTGGGAAAAAGGACTTCTGTGGCCAGCGTGGCTTCCAAGGGTAGCAGGTCTAGACCGTCTCCACTTGGGGGAAGGCTTTTCTGGCAGGGAGAATCTGATTCCTTTGTTGACCTCCGAACCTACCTCTGTTTAAGCCGGTGACCCCTCGAGTCATATGAAAATCGCTGCCTTGAGTTTTTACATTCAAGGGAAGCAGCTAGTTCTGGTGGGTGCAGGAGACAGCTCTGATGATTCTGTTCTGCAGGAGTGGTCGCTAATAGAATGCACCGCAGAAATCTAATCTGCTTGAGTCATGTGTTGCTGGAACTGATCGGCTTCTTAAAAATCCGTGTCTATGTCAAATCGAGTAAACAAACAGCAGGCTGAGAAGAGGAATAACCGCTAACATCAGAGCTGACCTCCCTCCACCGAATTCCTGCATCACACATACCTGGTCTGGGCTGAGTTTAAATACTTGCTGAATTGACTCCCAGGCTCCCCTCTCAGGAACCGGCCCCATTGGGCTCTGTGGCCTCAGTGACAGCAGCAGCCCAGCTGCCCCACCGTGCCGGCACGCAGCCTCGCCCAGCAGCAGCCCAAGTGGAATTGTAAAGAAGGCGGCTCGTGTTTCCCTAGGAAAGGTGTGTTTGGGTGAATGTTTCCTTTATTTGAATAAAGCATTCATTTCTAAATGAATTTCTGGCATGTCAGTCTCGGTAGTGTTTCTTAGGAGTCACTTGACTAATTTTGGCAGTCCATCTGGAAATGTGGTTTTGTTAGAAGGGGGATGTGTGATAATAGCAAGTGTGATAATAGCAAGAGTTAGCAGTCTTGTGTTAATAGTTTGCCTTTGAATTTAGAACTAGGAAACAAGATGCTGATTGCAATAATTTGCGTTGGTGAAGCAATTTACTGCAATCTTTGCACATGTGCAGTGATACATATTAAATGCATTTGGGCTGTTGTAGGGGGGTGGGCCACATTTTTACCCTGCACAGATAGTTTAGCAGTCGTTCGATGGAAAAGTGGAAACTTTGATTGTCTCAGTCTATTCTTCCACATTTCCCTTCTGCGGGAGCATTTGTGTCCTGTACATAGCGCTATCTCTGCGCCTTCAACTGGGGCCTTGGCTTCAACCCCATGTCCTGATTACGAGAAGCCTGTGCATTTGGTTAATAAAGCTGCTCCCGTGGTGCCTGCAAGCGGGACTCTAGCTGAAAAAAAAAAATCCTCATTCCCCAGCGACACATACAGAGACAGCCTCTGCTGTGATCCTGAAGATGGAGTAACTCGGGGGTGGTGACACTGTGTCACCAGTGAACACGGTGGCCTCACCTATGTTCCTTCTGGTTCTCCTGTGAACCTGTCTCCTGCTTTGGGGGGCAGACTTGGGGGTGATCATCGTGGGTGGTTCGGGGTGGCCCTCTCCTTGCCTGGTGTGGGTTCTTGCACATTCCTGGCACCTGCACCCTCTCCCTCTTGAAGGCCATCACCCCTGATGCTCCGGGATATGGCTCTGGGACTCTGAGTGCCTGTGGAAATTTGACTTTGTGCTGATCGGCCCTTAGGTCGGGGGCTCAGCTCCTTTGGTGCTGCTGCTAGCTGGCTTGCCCACCAGCTCTCTCAGATCACCTCCTCATGGCACTTTGGGGAAAAGGACAGGCCTAGGGAAAGAGGGAGCGTGAATGTGGCGGCTGGGCCGTTTGCTCAGAGCAGAGTGCCGCTCTTGAGCACAGGGAGGCCTGCTGTTCCCGGAGGAGACGGGGCCATCACCCCACACCTCTGAACTCTTGGCCAGTGGCCTCCTCTGCCACCTGTCAAACTCTGAGGAGGAGGCTCCAGACCTGCCTCTAAACAGTGCTCCGAGTTTTGGGCTCAGGTGCCCAGTGGACACTGCATAGGCCAGACCCGTGCTTACTGTGTTCTGCCGGGCTCCTGGCGGGGACTGGTTCCTGTCCTCGGAGATTATTTCCAGGAGGTCAGACGATCCGGTCCAGAGAGAGAGGCCAAAAGAAGAAACCCCTTAGAACCATTTCTCCCATGAGCTCCTCTTACCGCTGGGTCCTCCCCTGAGCACCTAGGTCCTCGGTGATCCTGCTCTTGACCTTTGCAGAATTCCTAGAAAAATTGGCAAATTGGCGCATGCACACACACACACACACACACACACACCCTTGGGGTGGAGTCTGCCACCAGTGGTCCTGAAGCCCATGTGGTGCCCAGGCTTACATGCCGGATGCCTTGGAGTCTGGCTCCCCAGCTTGCTTCTCTGCCTGCTGACTGTGATGTGGGCATTTTCCTTCCTTCTCTGGGCTTCTGCGACCATGGCCTTACACAGGGAAGAGTAATCATCCTCTGTTTGGGCTGTGTCACGTGTTTAAAAGATGCTTAAGGCTTAGCTTTATTAGTTTGTCTTCCTTTTTTGTTATTGCCAGTGTTTCACTCAGTCATTTAGCTCATCTGTGCCAGCGAGGCTCAGCAGGCAGATTCCAGTTGAGTTCCTTGGAGGGGTCCCCTGCAGTGAAGTCGCTGGTTGGCAGTGTGGCAGGCAGGGTAGGAGGGGTGACAGCAAGTCTACTCCCCAAGGGGCCGCAGTCAATACTGACTTCACCCTGGGCTGTGCACAGGACACCGCCTGAGAGGAGGCCAGGCCAGAGTTTCACAGAGAGAAGTGTGTCTCTATTTAATGCAAGATAACATAAGATTTTATGCTTGAAAGTGACTCTGGGCCCTTCTAAGAGAACATCAGGCAGAAACAGAGGAGCAAGATGAGAGGGACAGGACTTGCCCCCTGCCCTCCTGCAGGGCCACAATGGTGGGCATGTTCCTTGGGCCCTGTTCAGACCGTCCTGCTCCATCGCTGGTCTGGTGGGCGCTGTGTGACCTTCAGACACGTACGACGTTTTTCTGAATTCTTCATGCTCGGGAGAATTGACTGCTGCCGCCTCTGCTTTCCTCTTCACCCCAGCCCCTGCAAATACATTAAAAATTAATACTAATAAAGAACAGTGGCTTTATTAATGTTTTCCTGATAAAGTCAGGAGCACATATGTTGGCGCTAAGAAGAAATCTATGCTAAGTACATCTCCTTCCAGACAGCTCTCAGCGCCGAGCACAGTCTCTGTCACAGACAGATTTTTCATGGCCTGTCTACTCGGTGTCGTCTGCAGTGTTTGCATGAGGAAGGGGGGGGCCCCAGTGCTGTAGAGTGTTGGGATGTCCTGGGGAAGCATTGCCACCTGGCCCCCATTTGTGTACCTGCTGTGTGCTGGCGCCGGGGGCTGCTTCTCTGGCCCCAGGGCTGCCTGCGGGGTGACAGAGGTGAGATGTATGCTTCCCTGCAGACTTGAGCACGCCTCTCAGTTCTGCAGGTACCCCTGGGGTGCAGTAGTGTCTCAGTTCTTGGCTCCAGGAGTACAAGTCCAGTATGTGCTTAAAATTCAATTCTTATATGATGTTTTACTAAATATGTATTGTATGTATTTTATCAATTCCATTAAATTCCATTTCTTAATTCCGTTCAGACGAGGTTTCTGTGCCATTCAAATTCTTCTGTAGCACTGAACGGAGTCCTTTTTTCTAAAGGTGGAGGTAGCTTTCCCAAGTTACTTGAGAAGAGATTCCCTTTCACTCACCTTCGAGAACAATCTTGATCAACATCAAGCAGTAGAGGGCACTAAAGTTCAGGAGATGGAGCCACAAAAGTAGATCATTGCTTGTTTTTTTAAACATGGAAGCAGTGGAGATGCTATGTACCTCCTCTGTGATAGTCTATCGCTCCCGTGTTGATAAATATTGCCCATGGTCTTTTAAAATTTGTATATTGTCTGAAATTAAAGGGGAATTAAAGTATTTATGGATAAGTATCAAGTGAATATAGGCAAAAATAGGCTAGGGAACTAGCGACCAGAAATGGAGTATTTCTAGTCCAGACTGGTTTTTTAAGACTATAAACATTGACTGGATATTTGAGGTCAAGGATCAGAGGAAAATATCTTCTAAGGGCTTAGATCAAGCCAGTAGAACATTGTGTGCTTTGCATGATAGGAAGACAAGGCAGGAAAGTGATACTTTGAGTCTTTTGATGGCTGAGCAGCATCTAGATGGATGTATGCATTTTTAGAAATGGGGATGAGAATTTTTTAAGCTTTCCAGCTCTAATAAATTCTTCCATTGGTATGTAACCAGGTTTGTTGCATTTCTTAGAATTCCCACCAAAAAAAAGGGTTACTGTGGTATAGAATAACTGAAGAAACTTAGGAGAGTTCTAGACTATGGGAGTGTGGGTAGAAGCAAAGAAGGAAACCGAAGACTTTGGGAACTTCCAAGGCCAAGTCCACCAGTTTCGTCAAATGCCAGTGAAAGTTTTTGTTGCCTTTTTTATTTTACACTTTTAAAAAGCTTTTCAGATACACTTATCATAAAACTCACCCATTTAAAGTCTATAATCAAGTGCTTTTTTAGTATATTTACAAAACTGTATGCCATCGACAACAGACAAATTCTAAAACATCCTCACCATCCCTTATGCCAACCATCATTCATTCCCCAGCCCCTCACCCCCTTAAACAACCACTGTTCTACTTTATGACTTTATGGACTTGTTTATTCTGGACAAGTCGTATCAATGGAATTATATAATATGTGGTCTTTTTTTTTTGCAACTGTCTTTTTTTGCCTAATGCAATTTCAGCAGCCATCTGTGTTGCGCTCATCAGTGGAATATCAGTACGTCATTCCATTGCGTGGACACACCACATTTTGTTTACACAGCATCGGTTGGTGAAGATTAAGATTGCTCCCACTGGTAGTCTATATCAGTTAGGGTGCTATGACCATTAGCGTACAGGGTTTCCTTTGGAGCTATATTTTCATTTCTCTTGGGTTTATACTTAGGAGTAAGATTGTTGGTCATATGGTGACCATTTAACATTTTAAGTCACTACCAAAGTGGCTGTGCCGTTTTACAATCCCACCAGGATTGTAGAAGGGTTCCAGCTTCTCCAGATTTATTATGTAAAGCTGTTAAATTTTATCCAATGCCTTTTGTGTCTATTGAGATGATCGTGCGGATTTTGTCCTTTATTCTACTAAGCAGTCTCATTGATTGATTGTCAGATGTTAAACCAACCTTTTGTTCCTTGGGTGTTTTTTTTAATCTATAGTCACAAGGGATATTGAGAAATCATTTCTATTCTTGTGATAGCTTTATCAGTGTGTTACTGGCCTTCTAGAATGAGTTTGGAGAGCTTGTGAAGGATTAGTATTAATTTTTCTTAAATTGTAGGGCTTACCAGTGATGATTTTAGACCTATGATTTTTTTGCAGGAGGCTTTAAAATGACCAATTCACTCCATTTACTTAGTATGGACTTGTTCACAATTTGTTTCTTCTTAAGTCCCATTTGGCAGTTTGTGTCTTTCTTGGAATATGCCCATTGCATATCAGCTTCGTAATGTTTGGTCTTACAGTTTTTCATAATATTCCTGTATAATCTTTTTCATTTTTGTGAGATTGGTGATGCTGTCCCCTTTCACTTTTGACTTTAGTAATTCAATCTTTTCTTAGTCTGGCTAAAAGTGTGTCAGTTTTGCCTATTTTGTTGCCCACTTTTAAAATTACTTCCACAATAATTATTTATTTCGTCCTTCCTTTCAGGATTGATTTCTTTATTCCAGGAGTCTCTGTGGTTGGTGGATTCTCAATATGCTCTAGCCCGAGACTGCTGGAGCAAGAGAGAATGATAGAGCTGGCAGTGAAATACACGAACCACCCTCCTTCCCTCTGGATTCACAATCAGGTGAGCAAATTGCCAGCTTAAACTTGGGAATCTGGGCATCTCTGCCCTGCACCACATTTGTGTTCAGCACACTTACCTCCAGACTTGCGGGAAAAGGGCACACATGCTTGCAAACAGACCCCCCCCCCCCCGCCAATATCCCAAATGCAGACTCCATAAAGGGCAAAGAAGCAGAATCCTTCTGATGCATTAAGGATGGCCCAAAGATCTTTTGGGATCTGGAAATATCTTCTAGGTCACCAAATTCTGTTCATTTGAATACCACTTTAGGATTAAACATTTTACTTTTTATGTAACTTTTTGAAAATTGACTCTCTTAATGCATAAATGGCAAATCTTTAAATCAAATTGTCTTGTCCCAACCATCCTAAATAAAGAGAATCACACTATCGTTCTCTCACTTGGAGGGGAAACAGTCTCTGATTACATACTGCTGGTGCCCAGAGCCGAGTTCTGCTAAATCTGTGGTGCCATTTCAGTCTCTGGAGAGTTCTTCACACAGGATCTGAGAGGGAATCCACATTTGCTGCTAATAACTCACGCTGCCCCCCCAGGCTGAACACAGTCCTACATAAGCTGCTCATTACCTACCTGCTGGAACTCTGACAACACGGAATGATCTCAGAGGAGATCAGTCACTTGTTTTCTTAGCTTTTGATTCATGTCTCCTTCTTGCTGCCATCTTCACTTCTAGAATGTACCATCTGTGCGAATCTGACTTCACATAGAGCTTCTTCCTTTCTTTTCCTGGAAATGATCAGAACTCAACAAAGGAAAACAGAAACTTCATTTTCAGCACAACTTAGAAACACATTCCATTATGTTTTACATAATGAAATGTTAGTTTATGTAGGAGCCATGTGGGACTAAGAAGGGGCCAGAGACCACCAGTAGCAGATGTCATAGGTCACCACCAAGAACACGGGGGAGTGGGGTGGAGGCAGAAGCTTACAGCCTCTTGTGAGTGTGTTAAATGGACATTTGTTAAGAGAGCCCGGGGTGTACAGTGGAGAGCCAGTAGAGAAACTCAAATAGAGGCTTTTACTCACAGGTCCTGGAGGAAATACTTGCCTGTCTGAGGGCCACATGGGGAGGTCAAGGCAGGGTGTAGGCAGAGAGATTCAGCACGTGGGGTATATGCCTTCATGAGGGCCCTTGGGAGGAGTACTTTGGGATTCCTTAGACTAAGGCAGGGTTGGTCAGTTCAAACCAAGAAAAGCAGGATTTTTGTAGGCTCCATGGGGTCTTATCTAAGGGTCCCACGAGAGAAAGACTTTGGAGTCAGAGGGAACTGGTTATACCAAGGTCATTGGGAAATCACTTCTGGAACTTCTGTTTCCTTGTGGCTCTGCAGGCTGTTAATGAGGCAGCGAGCTCGTGTGTGGGGCTAGTGTCAGTAGAAGGCCCCACAGGTGGCTTGCCAACACAGTGGGTGCTGAGGCCGCAATACCATGGAGTATCTTAGCTGAATTCTCAGCATAACCCTTGTCTGCACGAGAGTGTGAAAACAAGGTGAAATTAAAGGTTCCAACAAGATGCACTTGGGTTCTGTTAGGAGACAGCGCACAGAGGACCAGCTCACACAGATAAGCCATATCTGTAGCAGCAACATGTCATTGTAGTGGCTGGAGCGCACTTTTGTGTTGTGAATCGTTATTTTAGGACACTCTCTTGGCTCATCATACGATGTAGGACCTTCGTGAAAATAGAGGATCAAAAAAAAAAAAATCCCTATTCACGCAATTGCATGAAAGAATCAAGAAGACATGAATAAATGGAGAGATATAGTATGTCCATGGATGAGAAGATGCAGCAGAGAAGTCAGTTCTCTTAAATCGATAGTCTGTATTTGCTAACAGCAGCCAAAATATCAGCAGGACTTTTCGTAGATCTAAATAAACCAACTCTAGGGTTTGTATGAGAGGCAGAAGAAGTAGAATAGCTAGGTCCATTTTGAAAAAGAAGAATAAAGAGGGAGGAATTAGTAAATTCAGATTAAAATAAAGCTGTAATAATCAAAACAGTATGCTGGGAGGGAAGCAAGACACACAGATCAATGGAACAGAATAAAGAGCTCAGAAACAAGCGTGTGTGTGCGCACACACACACACACACACCCCACAGTCATTTGATTTTTGACAAACAGGCTAAAGAAAATCAGTGAAAAAAGGATAATCTCAACAAATAGTGCCAGAGCAATTGTACATAACTATGCCAAAAGAAAAAAAAATCACACTTTATATTCAAAATTAAAATAGAGTATACATCTAAGTGTAATGGGACTGTTGTGTATCTTTAGTTGTGCTTGCACAGATCTACCTGTGTTAAAATTCATAAACTGCACACCAAAAGGAAAAAAAGTTTATGATAAGGTGATTAAAAAAGCCTTAAATCAATAGGGGCATAAAATACATATATATATTCTTGTGCTTTGCATGTCAAGCTGTGTGTTCAGAGCAACCCCAGGTGTGCCTTCACATTTCCATTGTAAATTTTCACCCCCTGACCTCCTCAGGCCCTCCTTTGATGAGGCCTCAGCCACCCCATTCCTTTTTTGCATTCTCTTTGGGTTTTCCACCCATCGCTGTGGCTCTAGACTGCGCCCTGAGTCTCTCAAAGATGCCACGGGAATGGGACCAGCCAAGAGTCCACGTGTCCTCAGACTTCAAGTGAGCTTAGCAAGCCTGCTCCCAGTGCCCCAAGCCCCCTCAGTTGTCAGCCCCCACGTGCCCTGGCCTGCTTCTGCTCGGTGGGCTCCCTGCTCGGTGTCATGCCTCATTGGCATTTTAATGAAGGAACTTACTCTTAGAGCGGTGGAAAATCTCCAGTGGCATCGCTTGAATGCACGTCCTAATTGTAGCGCCTGCTCCACTCTGCCCAGTGGGAGTTGCAAACAGCCTTTATGAAGTCAGATTTTTCTTGGAACTGTTCTCAGGTGGCTATTTTCCTCCCGAGGATTGGTCTTATTAAGCTATTAGTGTGGACAATGGAGGCGCGTGAGTGTCTGGGTGGCAGCAGGCTGCTCCGCCGGGGCATGAGATGAAGTGCCATAAACGTCTTCCTTTATTTTATCTGCTTTGGCTGGAGCTCCTGTCAGGGCAAAGGGTAGGGACGGGACAGCCATTGTGTGCCGAGCTCCAGTTGCTGGGGAAAGGTGGTTTACTTCACAAGGAGAAAATCTATCCCCAAATGAGATACATTTTGGAGTAACTGAAAGTAACGTCCTTAGCTCGCTTCCACGTCATACTGAAAGGACCGTGAGGCCTGTGTTCACACAACACTGGTCATTTCTGTTGACCAACAAAAGACAAAAGTGACTTTTGATTCCTTCCAGATGCTAGCAAATTAGAAGATAAGTCTACTGAAGATTACTTTGTCACTAAAGAGACGACAGACTTCTTGAGTATTATCTTTCCCTGGGGCACATTTTCTTGCCAACTTTAGGGTTGGAGATAACTCTGGTTTCTAAAAGCAATAACTAAAGGCTGGGTTTGTTGTCATTTCTCTGTGTGCTGAAGATGACCACCGGAGGAAATAACTTCTCTTTCATTTACCCTTAGACTTTTCTGGAGAGAGAAGTTCCAGGCAGGCAAGGGGTGGGGGAGGGCTCAGGATGAAAGCCATTGTCATCCTTTGGCAGCGCCTCTTGTGTCTTAGATCCCCTCTTCAAGACTTGAAAGGAAGGAGCATTTCAAAGTGCTTGGGTAGCCTGTGTCGTGGTTCCTAGATTTTACTTATTCCTAGCAGAATGCTCCCTTGCTGCTAATTTCTTTTGTTAGAAATGAAAACCCACTTACCATCCATCATGCAAAAATCTCCTGCATATTTGAAATAGTTAAGTTCAGACTTTTTCTTTTCCTTCAGAGAAAGGATTTCCATTCACTTAAAAGTTCTTTATCCAAAAGGACCCCGATGGTAAATTCAGATAATTTTCCTTTCCTTAGATTTTCTCTATGATTAACTTTTCTGAATTAAATTCATGTCAGAAAGTCCTTAATGCTTACCTGCCATGCAAGGTGCCAAGGTTGATTGCCATGTTTGGTCTTCAGAAAGCACATAGTCCGTTCTTCTTAGGAGGACGTTCATTTAGTTAATTTATGTTGGGAACATGTAATCAAACAAACCTATGCTCTTAATAGAAATTTTTTTATTCCTATATTCTGTTAGTCCCAGGGAAGAAGGAAGCGGTCACTCCAGGTGCTTTTTCTTACACCACAGCCTCAATGACCAACATACCCTCTCTCTTAGAGCCTGATGCAGCGGGGAATCCCTCCGCTCTCCCCAGGGTGTCAGGCTTGGAAGATGGGCGGGAATGGTATGGTTACACATTTTCCAGATGCAGCAGCAGAGAAAAGGTGAAGTTAAGGGTCTGAGTGGATGTTACAGGGGCTGTGGTTAAAACCTAGCTTTTAGCTTCTAGATCAGTACAGTTTTCTCCAAACAGGTTCTCAACACTTTCTGAACCCTATCAGATCCAGTGCTTCCTTTCTAGAACTGCCCTACAGTTAGTGTAATCAACACAAAAAAATTTTTGAAGATAACATAATGCTTACATGTTGTGCAAAGGAGAAAAAATGATTCATGATCAAAGACTGTATTTTGATACATGAAGTAATCAGATGACTGTTCCTCAGCTTGGGATCTCCATGAAAACACTTAAGATGCAGATGATACAAATTTTAGGCATGTTACCAACTGGGAAATGGTTTTCCAGAACAGTGAACATGCTTGGAAACCTTCTGAATACAATAAAATACAATCTCCATAGTGCTGGCATTCTGGAAAACTGAGACACTATAGATCCATGCAAAGAGCACTGTGAGTCTTTTGTAAAACGAGTTAGGGTCTGGTCTCATGTCATTACAAAGCATTTTCCACCCATATGATGGCCCCTGGGTCATTCAGAAGTCTGTGCATTACAGGTAACGGGGTGCTGTTAACCCCACTCTCTGAGTCAACACCCTGACACGCCCTCCTGAGTTCTGTGCAGTGCACACTCCCCCTGTGGCTGATGCCAAGCTCCATGCAGAAACTGGCTCACAAAATTCCTGTACATTTTACATCTCCTGCCCTTTCAATGCCAATTGGGTTCCCCAAATTCCTGTGACAATAAAAAAAGTGTCACCGCCCATTTCCACAACATCCCTTCAGGGTGTGAGAACCAGTGCATTTAGCAGCTAGTAGTTGCTTTGCCTGGATGGGGTGTACCTGGATGGGGTGTGCCTTGGAACAGAAGCCTCTGGCTGCCTGTTCTTGCTGCTCTGGGGGGAAGCAGGCTGTCGTGAACAGGCCCACAGTGCCCAATCCCCTCAGCCCTGCCGAGCCCAGGGCAGCCTCCATGGAATGACAGTTGCCCCCTCCTGCCTGTCAGCTCGGGGGCTTCGATCAGAACACCAGCGTGCCACTCAGGAAACCCATACTTCAGAACTGTCTGTGAGTCCCTTGGCACCTTCCACAACCCAGGGCATCGCCTAAGAAGTTAGCAGGTGGCAGACGTACTGAAGCGAGTCTGCTATGCTTCATACCCCAGTGGCTGCAGTGGGATCACAGAGGCGGAGTCGCAAATGGCCTCTATAATGGACAAGTGGGAGCAATTCCCAGGGCCCAGAGAAAACTGAGAGCAAGCTGTAAAAATAGCCCTAAATACTGGCACCAGTGCGGGAGGTGGACGCAGTCGGGTTTACGGGAGAGGAGCGGGGGGCAGAAGACCTGCACTAAGGACGCCTTCTTTCCTGCCTCAGTGTGCACTTGACTCCGAAGTTGCCGTGAGAGTGGGCGGAGAGTTCTACTTTGACCCTCAGCCTGCAGATGCCTCTAGAAACCTGGTGTTGATTGCAGGAGGCGTCGGGATTAACCCTCTGCTTTCCATCCTGCGGCATTGGGCAGATCTGCACCGAGAGTGGGTGGACGGAGGAAGGGGGTGTGAGATGGGAGTGGTGAGACTCTTCTACAGCGCCAGGGACACCAGCGAACTCCTGTTTCAGGTAAGGGCGGAAGGGACGTTTCAGAGTCTGCTCCGAGCAGCCCCGCGAATGGCAGTCACTGTCCGGGGAACTTTCTTCTCGCAGTCCCGTCCTGCCTGCAGTAGTTCTCAACAAAAGACCTGCCAAGGCTTAATCATGTTGAAGTGAGAATGAACCAACACAGCTTACCCAGGACCATGAAACCAACGAGGGGGGAGGAGGCTCCCCAGAAGCGACAGAATAAGGGCACGCTTGGGGGGCTTGACTCCAGACGTGAGTGAACAGAAGCCACTACAGCCCCGAGATTCCTTAAAGAGTCAAGAGCCGGGGGTGGGGGTGGGGGTCTTGTGTTCCAAGAGTAGGTGACTCCCCATAGTTTGGACCCAGCTGGGTCACCGAAACCCCCCCAGTCGCATCTGTGGAGACTAAGTCCACGTGAGGGAGAGGCTTTCACTCTGGGTGGGTGTGCAGCTGCAGAGATGAACAAAAGAACAGAAACAGTTAAAAGACACAACTGTGGTCAGTGAAACTGCTGCCTAATTGCCAATAGGCGAGAAAAAGGGAAAAAGAAAAAAACTCCCGGAGAGTTAGTAATATGCTTGTTAGCATATTCAGATTTCAATTAAAGCCAAATAGCCCTCTGTGCTCTGAACGCTCTGGCCTGCTCGGCTGCAAACAATATCCCTCTGAGTGGAGAGCAGGAGCAGCAGACGTGTGCGGAATGGGAGTCGAGTCCGCGTCGGTGGCTGTGCACATCTGTTCTGGTTTTTTTTTTAAATTGTCTTGTGACCAAATATGTTTGACATTCCAGAAAAATATCCTCGATTTAGTAAATGAATTTCCTCAGAAGATTGCATGCAGTTTGCATGTTACAAAACAGACTACACAAATCAGCGCCGAACTCAAGCCATACATCACTGGTGAGTCCCCCGAAGATATGGTGACTGTCTCCTCCAAGGTATTTGGGGGACCTGCCAGTGGGTTGAGTCGATGTTTTATTGTTGGGAGTTGCTTGGCTGGGAATTCCACTACCTGGGGAATTGAGCGATGATTCATCATGGAGAAAGAAGGAGAGATTTAGTCAGACTGACTTACTATACACAGGTTTCCTGCTGCCCGTATTAAAAATTTATTTTCCACATTTGCGTCATCACTATAGGATGCATACAAAGAATTTATATTCCGGCTTTGACTGAAGCGATTCCATTTGCCATGAATGGTAACTTAAATTACTCATGGTTTCTCCTGCTTGGAAGGATTTTTCATAAACCAGTTTATTTACTTTGCTGAAGGCAGTTTTGAATCTTTAGCGAGGACTAGTGTGCTAGCTGGCCCTGTCTGAAGAGGGCATTATGATGAACCTCCCACTTTGCCAGCTCTAAGTTTAAGAAACCTCTAGATGCACTCTCTGCTTGAGTCTGACCCCAGATGCTAACAAGAGCCATGTACATGGCAAGACACCCCGAGCTCGACTTACCAAAAATAAACATTGTCGCTGAGTTGTGGTCAGGCCTTCAGTACAAACATGTCTGACTTAATTTGATGTTTATTCTGTTTTTTTTGGTAGAAGGAAGAATAACAGAGAAGGAGATAAGAGATCATATTTCAAAAGAGACTTTGTTCTATATTTGTGGCCCACCTCCGATGACAGACTTCTTCTCCAAGCAACTAGAAAAGAGCCATGTTCCAAAAGAGCACATTTGCTTTGAGAAGTGGTGGTAGGGAGCAGGCAGAGGTAGAAAGGAGCCAGATTTGAGGCCCAGCCTGGACGGAAAATGTTATCTGACTCATGGCAAGGGGAACTTAACCTGTGTTCAATCTTATTTGATAAGACTAAGTGACCAGCTGGATGAGAAAAGCAAAGCCAGCTGACAGACTTGAGTGAAACTATTTTTTACTGTATTGGCTTTATTTTTTTAATCACTATTTGATTATCTCATGAATGTGCCTCAAATTGGTCATACAGATTTTCTTTCCCATTAGGGAAAAAGATGATATATGCTTACACTTAATGATGTGAAAGGTAGTTTTGCGTATGAAATGGAGCTTATTTTTAAATTATTTGACAGTAACCTGTATCTCTCCGTTCAATAAACATAATTTCTAACACAAAGCCTTTGAAAATTCTTTGTATTTAATGTCATGGTAAGCTTTTACTGTGGCCTGCAGCCTTGCTTCTTTGAACCTTCAAAGTTGGGTTTGGAAATAGAAAATTGTTAGGAATTGGGTCCTCCCTGGTAGTGCAAGGGGTTTAAGCCTCAGCACTATGAAGCTGTCCACAGCCACTGCAGCACGAGTTCGATTCCCGGCCTGGGAGCTACCCACATGGCACAGCAGACCTCTCCTGTCTCCCCGCTGCTCCCCTCAGCAGTGTACTTCAGTCACTCCACCTGTTCTGCTCCCCACTCTGTTTGGTGAATGCTCTCACCCCTGCACCCCTGGCCTATACCCCAGCTCTTATATGCATAAATAAATTGATAAAAAAAAAAGAAAATTGTTAGGGAAAAGGCTTTGGGGGACTGAAGTGTTAGTAAATATCCTAAGTGTGTATCCTGACGAATTGTTCACTTTTCCATGAAGCTCTTTCTTTGTTCTGTGTCTGGGCTGCCTGCCTCGGTGCTGCCTGTAGGGGCATATCTTGTCTGGGGCGAAGGTGCTGGGGACCACTGTGCTCCACTGAGTCTGCCTCCGATGGTGGCAGGCAGGCTGGGTCTTGTCCAAATCTTGCTGCTTTGCTTTTTATTTGGTTGCTTTTTCAGGGTTGGTCCTGGGGCATGGTTGTTGAATGACAAAGAGGACAACTAATTTTTACGTCCTAGCTAACCTGTAACCTTCATGCAGGTTACATGATACATAATACGTGCTTAACAAATATTTGTCATGCCAATGAAAGACTACAGACCTAATGCTTTAGATTCGGATTCAAGATTGTTTTCGCAAGACTGTGTCATATGTGGAGTGATATCTTTCAGTCATGTGAGGAAGCACATAATAACCAATTGTCCATTTATAGTGTTTCTTCTTGTGCCATGAGACCCTTCAGAGACTCTTCTCAAAAGACTTTACGCTGACTTCTTCTAGAGGATGACAAATCAGTTAACTCTTACTAATTGAGCACCTACTATGTGCAGTCAACTGTGCTCAAAACTTGAAGATAGGAAAGTATAAAGTAGAGATTATCTTCAGCAAGTTAAATACTTTGCAGAACTATTTTTTTTTTATGAAGCTAAAGAGTGATACAATCTATCTTCTAGAAGTATGTTGCATACCGTGAACTTGTCAATAAGACTGAAGTGGAAATGCTTTGGGGAAAAGAAAGTTTTCTGTAACTGTCACTGGTTGAAAACTGCAGACATTGGGTGACTGGGTGAAACTGGAGTGGTGGTTCCTGTGGGCGGAGGGGCAGGAGGGGGTGGTGGGAGAGGTACCCAGGCTCCCGAAACAGTGCCCAGGAGAATTGTTAGGACTGGAGGCATAGCCGAGGTGTGTGTACATGGGTGCGTGCAAGTGCAAATGTGGGCATGCATGCAGCGACCATCAACCAATATCTGATGTCACGTGACTCTGTCAGGGAGGGGTGGGGGCGTAGTTTCCTTTCTGATGGAAAAACAGCAATTTCCTTCATTCCTGGGTATTGCAGACGATCGCATGTTGATAATTTAACCTGAGAGCTGTTATTTCATTTTAAATGAAACTTGAAGTATACTGTTCTCATCTTGGAGAAATAGTCAGATGTCTTGTCTTTCCTAACACGCGCCTGCACAGCAAGCGTGGAGATGACATATGAAGATACCCACTAACCCACCGTCTAACCACATGCATTTTAAAATGTTTTGTGTTCAGGAATCCAGACATTCCTAGTTGGTGAGCAACTACCTGGATCCAATCTATTCTGAGTTCTTTAAAATCCCTGCTGGAGCCCATTAGCCTGTCTCATCCCTTCCTGTCTCCATGGACTCAGCCTTGGGCGTGTCCCAGAATCTTCCACTCACAGGTGGGCTCTACAGAACACCCCATTGCCGGAGCATTTAGTTCATGAGAAGCTATTTTGTTTTAATCCAACTAGGCCTCTCTGTTGTTAGATACTCTAGGGACCTAGAAAGAAGACTGGAGAATGAGACAAAAATTGGTTGGCTGGGTAGAATATGGAAAGTTCCTGGCTCCGGGCATCAGGAGACCTAAAGGTTCCTTTTCCACAACTTGCTTCCTACGGGACTCGCTGCTCCTGTCTCTCTAACCTGCTGTTCTTATCTGTCAAATAGATAAGACCAAGGCATTTAAAAACCACTTGCCGCTTTCCCGTTCTATAATTTCATGAAGGGAAAACAGGCCTCAGAGATCGAGGGGAATTGAGGTTGACCGTTCTGATGAGGAATGACTAAGGAGAGTCTCAACTGTCTTGAGGTATTTGATTGATTGTTGCAGGGACTGTTGTTTGCATCCCCAAATGTTGACAGAATCAGGAGAAATTGCCTTGGACTGAAGCAAGGGAAAAGTTTGCTTTGATATAGAGGACTTTGGGACTACGCTGCTGATTTAATCATGGAGTTGGGGCCCAAGAGAAAGGGTGGATTCACCATTAATAAGAAAGAAAACTGACAGCATTTGCCTATGAGGCTGGACTGGACAGGGCTGAATTGGTAGTTCTCCAGCTTAGTTTTAGACAGTTATTAATTAGGCATTTTGTGAATTTAGAAACTGGAAGGCTGGCTGGTGGCCCTTTTGAGATGATTTTTTTTTTGTTCTTTTCATTGAAAAATCAATGAGAGTTTCCCAGGACGGACAGTTCATGAACACAGAGGCCCAGCGCAGGACACATTCTGATAAGTGAAATATATTTCATACCGGCATTAATCCTTTATATTATTTAGGGGAGCAGAAACATCCAAAGTCATACTGAGCATAATGCCTGCTGAGCCCTGCATTTAAGCACAGAAGTGTAAGTCTTATGAAATTACTTACAGGGGAAAACCTGTTCTCACCAGTCAGCCAGCGTGGGATCAGTGTGGTTGAGCCATCTCTGGAGGGAACGTGTGTCTCCGTTTTGGGGGCACAGCTCCCATAGCTGCAGGCATGGCTGTGACTGCTAGCAGCACCGTGGAATCATCTGGAGGCAGAACTGAAGCTGTAGCCCTCAGACCCAAGACAGACAGTTTCCTTGGCACAACCACAGACCTTCCTGTGTGATCCTCTTCTCTCCCCCAAAGCTAAAGGCAGTTCTTTGAGTCTGAAGAAAGATTTCAAGACTTAGGTTTCAGTAACTTTGTAGAGTAGTATTGAATTCGAATTCAACCCTGACAACAATCCATGAGAGAAGTTCTAGAAAAATCCCAAACAGTGGCAGTATCCCTGGAATATTTATGACTCTGAGTAATGCCTTTGAGGACAATACTCTGTTTCTGGAATGGCTGGTACTGTCACTCTCCAATCAATTGTAAAACCTGATCAATGTGCTAAAATGACTCTTAAATCTGCCTCCCTCTCCACCGAGGTGCCAGCCACCAGCAGTCCCCACCTGGACTAAAGCCCTGGCCGAGCTTGCATCTCTGCACTCCTGTTGGCCCCCTACCACGTGTCTTGTGTAGCAGCCAGTGAGATCTAAAAAGGCAAACCCAGTGTCACTGCCCTGCTTGAATCTGATGGATGACTTCCCATCAGGCCTTCCATGACCGTAACTCTGCGGACCAGAGTTCAGGGGGCCCACCCCATCTGTAACCTCACTGCTACTGCTTTGTGCCCCCCTCACCCTCACACACACTCTGCAAACCTGCCTGCACTCCATTTCCTTTCAGTTCTTACTCCTCGTCACCGCTGTGCACAGACCATACTCCAAGCACTTTGCACAGGTGTCAGTACATCTCACTCAGTTATTACCGCCATTTTACAGATGAGGCAACTGAGGCACAGGGGGTTCTGCCACTTGCCCAGGCCTCACACCCGGCGCCTGGCAGAGGATTCTCCAGGCAGTCTGGCTCAGCTCCCCAGCGCTCATCTGTCAGGGTTAGCCTGAACTCTGACTTCAAGGCAAAGCCCTCCTGTGCCTTCAGGGCGTCCTGCGCCTCTCCTGGAGCCTGCAGTTATATGTACCCTCTGGAGCTGTCATTTAACCATCCCTAGAGCGAGTCCCGCGATCTCTGAGGCCCCCACAAACGCGGGGTCACCTACCAGCGGCCTCTGCGGGAGGAACAGGCCACCCACGCTTCCTCGCAGCAGCCAGGAAGCCAGCACCTGCCAGGGTCCGCGCCAGCGGCCTGTCGTGTTCTCAGTCTCGCCGCAGGGACGATCGCTATCAACAGGAACCTGCGGTGAACATCGCTTAGCTTCCTTCTCTGGCAACGGCCCCCTCAGAAATCCCAGCCAAAGACCTGCTGGGGCTCGACCTTAGATCTAACGGTCCACACACGTGGCTTCCCTGTTCCCAACTCGGGAGCCAAGTACAGGAAACCCGGGCTCCCCTGGGGAGCCGAGCAGCGGCCCGCCCTGCCCGGCTCACGCAGGCTGCACGCAGCCCGTCCCGCTGAGACGACAGGGCGGGGGGCTGTGTCCAGCGCCTCCCGGCTGCTGCCCACTCCCACCAGCCCGCGCCCGCCTCGCCTCGTGCCACCTGCTGCTCGAGGCCTGTGGAGCAGGACACAGGGGCCCAGGAGACAGAGGCCCTGCGGCCCGCCGGGCCCCGCGGGGGTGTGAGCACAGCCTCTGTGCTTTCCGTGACTGAGGAGTTTGGGGCAACAGATTCCTGCCGATAAACCCTGCGCTAAGAGCTGTTCCTGAAATGCTTTGTGGTTCAGCCCCGGACATGATGAATTTGTTTAGATGAGCGTCCTGATCAAACGTGCTTCATAAGAACCGAATTAGAACATCTCCTAATGCTCTCTTGA